GACATTTGTCTTCTTTCTGTTTTGATGAAATGGATAAAGGGAACTCAATGCTTTAAACTAGTTCTGTCAATTACATATTGCTGATATGTTGGGAGTAATGTCTGAGGGGTCTAGAGAAAATGTGCAATCTTTCATTTAAACATGAAAGTGACGCCGGAGGTCAATATATTCAACCTGGAACGATGCGAACAAATTTAAAATTTAAAATTTAAAAACTTTATTTTCTGGAGCCGTTAGGTTTTTGAGGACAGTTTTCGGAGGCTTGGAGAAAAGTTGTCAACCTGAGGCCAGGACCACCAATGAAGTTTATTTAGGTTGTTTTAAAGAGACTGAGCGTACATCATTTAGGCTAAAGGATTGGTATTCAGTCACTATCATTAATATACGTACGGCTAGTACAGTTGTGGAGAATGAAAATATTCGGTGGGTAAAAAGAAAAAATGGTGACGCAATAGAACCCTAAAAAACTCCAAGACAAGGACGTGGTATCAATAAATGATGTAAGCTTGGTAAGAATTTTTGGGTTGCAGATCACATTGAGAGGGGTGTTAGATTAACAGTGCTCGATTGAAAGAACCAAAGGCCTTTGCATAATCAAGAAGAGTCAAACAAACTATATGGGTACCACTGCCTAAGATGAATGCAACGGAATGCTCAATGTGCACAAAAACATCAAGCGTGAACAGATTTGATTTCAACATTTGTTGACCTAGATTATTTGGATTGTTTTATTATTTGATTCGGCTACAGCGGTATGAATAAAGGCTAAAAGACTCCCGGTCGTGGCTGGGAAATTACTGGTTTTGGCTTAAGGATTACTGATCAAGGCTAAAGAACTGCAGGTTTTGACCTAAGCCTGATTTATGCATGTGGCAGGCCGAAATGAATCGCTTGTTAGACACTTAGTTGCATAAAGATCGTTGAAAGAAAAGAAAAGGTTGTGTAATTGTTTTTGCAATGATGTTTGAACGCAATGGCAACCGTACGCGTTGTTGTTATTTGTGTCAGCGTTCAAGGACTGGAGCGGTACATTACGGTGGAAGAAATGTCAATCAAATTAGTGAGGCGAATTTTTCCGAACAGTCGGTTCTTACATTTTTCACTGTATCTAATTCGCCTCTTTTCTCTGTCTTCCTGCCCCGGAATCCAAATTTACCCATCCGTTAGGCGTCCAGTGATCGGCTGAGACCACTGAATTTACCGATAAATTTGAGTCCGGCAGCAAGTGATCTCATCAGAATGATTGTAAATTCACTTCATTAGTAATGAAGATGGATATAACCCAGCATACAGTTCTCGATACAAAACACAAGTGCGTGTTAAAGTTATTATTCTACGATGACGAACAATATTTTGAATTCTAAACCGATAAAAATGTCAACTTGTTTGGTGGACTGAAGGTAGATCTCTGCAACTTGCGAAAGGGCCAGGTGAAACTTATCACACTTTTCTTCCTTTATCGACAAAGTCATAACTCGATCTATGATTTCAGACACAGCTGAAAAAAACTCTCTAATAATCGTTCATTGTTTAAATAAATAATATCCATTTAGCAGAGAAATCATTTCTGAAAGCTGGTTTATCAATAACCATATGTTTATAATGCGGGCATCACTTTGTGCTGATATCCGAATAAAACTTTCTTTTTTTCAGGCTGCCATTGCTGTTTGGACAATGATTTTAGGGTTTATGGAAAGTCGACCTGAACCGAACAAAACCGTCCCGTGTTCGGAAACACTCGACTGGTTGTCCAGTTTATCCAGTGACTTATGTTCCGGCCAAATGGATGCCCGAAATGCACCAAATGAAACCACTGGAGTCAACAAAGAAACGCGAAACTATGCGGTAAGTCTACCCTAACTGTCCGGTGATTCAGAGGTATTAACCTTTTCGAGCGCTGGTTCTCTCCGCCAAATAAATATAATTTTCTAATGAGTATTAGCAACGCTTAACAATACAATACGTTCCGCACTATACATGTTCTAACAACCCACGATGAGCAATAGTATTATTTTATCAACACTGAAGCTTTACTTCATGAAGTCTGTCAACGCAGAATTATGCTTCTCGTTTCCTTAAGAAATCATCTTGATCTATGTTATTGCGAGAGTTGTGACTAATTTTATTTATTATATGTGAACAGTGCGCGCCGTGAAGAAAATATGAGTATATGCCCCAGATGGCATATGTTTAAATTGGGATCGGGTGGTGTCAGTGGATAGAATTTAAAGAAGCTTTTTATTTAATCAATGCTACGTATTGGACTATAGCCTTTTATAAAACCGATCAAAGATGTGGAGACGTGTGCTTACAACGATATACCACTCGCTTGAAAATCAACCGGGAAATCTGAGAATTTATGGGTCAGGCAATAATACTGGGAAGCAAGCAGTGCAGTCAGTAGAGTGAACTGAATATAATAAAAAAACGAAGCTAAAAAAATCGGAGTAACCCGATTGTTTCTAATTTTAAGGCCTGGAAGGATGATCAATGAACTATGGGAAACACGTTTTCTTTGTGAGGGTACGATGAAAGAGCGTGGAAAACGCTGAATGTTTTCCATATCTTTTGTGATTCAAGTTGTCCTAATATCATTTGAAGATATCCTAGTATCTTTCATAATATTGGCACAACAAGCTGTAGGAATGTGGACAAAGAACCTGTACGTTGTTTGATATTGAGTAAAATAGAGAAAAGCTGTTATGTGTTACAACATCGTTGAACGTTTCGGCCACCTTGGTTGGTCTTCGTCAGGAGTATACGAATCGGTAAGTAATCAGAATCAATATGACAAGCGAACATAGGCCGTTTCAAGTTTTACGAGCATCATTTCAAGCTCTCTTGTTTGTTTTATCAGCGCTGCAAGGCTCATATTTTTAAGCCTCCGGGTCATATCCGGATGATCACCAAGCAGCACATACCGCTCAATCTCCCTTTGAAGCGCGTGGGAAACGATTACGAGACGTGCTTCTGTCACACACACACACACACACCAATTCCCATGATATCTCGGTTACTTATCTTAATGGTACGCGTCTGCGTCTATTTGCATGTGTGTGTTCGTCCCTCTCCCCGTGGAAATCATACCAGGTTATACCCTGCTGATACCAAAAAGACCATACGGGATCAACGCTTGTGCCATTGCCTACGTTCGTCACGTGATGCTGCTATGGAGTTAATGAGTTACATCACAAGCGGTTGCACCAGGACAGCAAACGATCGTGCTCAATCGATGTTGGCCAGATTAACATCCAGTTTGTGTGATGTCTGTACGGTATAACCAATTCTCTGTTATCGCCACAGAAACACCAACAAAATTCTACTATTCAAGTATTGAACAATCAAAGTGACCAGTTTGAACATTTATTCAGAGTGGAATGAGATATCTCTACCAAACCAACTGCGATTGAAATAACGTAATGAGGGCTGTGGAAATATAACATAATTTTTTACGATTGGTACGGAATTTTCTGAGAAATTCGAATGCTTTCCCAAACGCACTTTTCCGAGTGTGGACTAAATTTGTTAACCTTTATCGCTAAAATCATGTAATTCTATTAAAACACTTGCAACACGCAAATTATACCAGGTGAATTAAGGCCAAGGTATAACATTCACAAGTGGCTAATGTGAACTGACTTCGTACAATCTTACTGATAAATAAAGTTAACCGAATACCACAAGAATCGTAGACTCCGATTTTTCAGGTTCAGTTTCATTATGGGAACACCGTCGTAGTTGTTCTTAATATGGTGATTACCTCAGTTAACACTATTCAGAAAACGTGAAAATGTTCGATAGCTGCGCCTGACAGTTAATACATTCTAGGGCTTGTACGCATGGTCCCTTTGTCTTCACAGTGACTTGAGTGTGAACTTTGAACAAGGCAATAGTAATTCAACATGACATCAGTGTTTTGAGTGACTGGGGGGACACGCGTGGATGGAGCCGAAGGAGATGATGAAAACTATAAACAAGCCAGTTTGGCATTATCCTTAGTCTATATTGGCTCAAATTGGAGTCCTCGCTTAAAACAAGTCCGATATCGAAATATGATATACGTCAGACTGTGAGCAATCTTTGACTCCTAATACGATATCCTTTTTCCGGAACCGCTTAGAAAGATAAAGCCTGTATCAGTCAAATGTTGGCATAATGTCATCTGAATGGAGCATCGCTTCATATGTGATTTTGTTGTGGGAATTCTCTACCAACCCTTACGCAGTATAGGTCCATGACCTTTCCTTTTGTATGGGCCCGACGGTTACACGATCTATCGGTCGAATGGTTCAGCTGCAGCAAAGAACGAGATACGTGTGCCGCTGACCCGAGCGAGAACCCACTCTTTATTCACAGCCTCAAATCATTAGCCCAGTGCACACAGCAGGAGTATCATCACCACACA